GTGAGCTGTCACATCCTCCCACCCTCACCCCCCACCCCACTGTCCAGGGGCTGTGCCAAGGGTGTGACTGATGTGGCCAAGCCCAGGGGACATGGGGGAGGGGCAGCCGTAAACCAGGGGCTTAAAAACAAACTCCTGGAGAGGCCATTGGACCCTGCTGCCCCCAGAGGCTCCAGGGGTGGTTCCCACTCCTTCTCCAAGTTGGAGCAGGGACTGGGGACTGAGTCACCACACCCGCAGGCCTCCTCTGAGGTGGTCCCCAGGGCTCCCTTCCGGGCGGGGTGCGTGGAGTGGGGGAGGGTGGGCGAGGAGGGAGGAGGAGGGAGCAATTTGCCAAAGAGCATGACCAGTCCTCCCACTAACCGCCTGGATGCTACGTGCGTCAAGTTTTCCACGTGTCACACACGGCGGGTCAGCCTCAGCCCCTGGAGTTCTCTCTTCCCTTTGAGCATCTTTTTCCATTCCCCTGCCTCTGCGCCTTCCCAGAACTTTTAGCCAGTTTTTAAAAACGGAACTTTTCTCTCTCAGACGCTGGCTGAGCAGGGTGGTCAGCTGGAGCCCACCCGTGGGTGGTGAGGGGCACAGGCCCGGGAGCCACACGGCTCTGGGTTCAAAGCCAGCCCCTGCCTTGCCGGCACTCCTCAGCAGAGAGCCTCTGTGTCTGCTGGGGGAAGGGTGGGAGATGGCGCCTTCCCTTAATTTTTTTTTTAATTTGTGAGGGTTTTGGCCCGCATGCCTCACACTCACTCTAGATTTCATCCGGGGAGGAGAGCTGATCCGGGCAGGGCCGGCGATAATGACAGTTGACTATTTTTCAAGTCTCTGCCAGGAGTTTGGACGCTGGGACATTTAGGGAGGCAAAAAAAAAAAAAAAAAGGTGAATTTTGCCACGTAAAAAGAATTACTATCCGTGAAATAAACCAAAAGGGAAAACTCTTTTAAAAAGTAACACAAAAGCTTTCCTTTGTAAATGTTTTGTTGATCATTTCTTTCTGCTCACAAAAATCATACAGACTCACTGTAAGAAATTTGAAAGTGATTAAAATGTGTGCAGTGAAAATGGAAAAATTCCTACGTTCTTGCCCTCTCTTAAAGTGATAGCTAGCAATTTGGTGGGTATGTCTTTGGAACTTTGTCATTCATATATATTGCTCCCCTAAATACTATACATTCTTTTCTGAAACTTCTCCCCTCTCCTCCCCACAGTAGCTGTGGAGGGAACATGTGAAAGGAAACAAGTATGCATTGCCCTTTAAGCAGCTGTAGGCATACCTAGTTCTATTGCACTTTGCACATGCTGCATTTTTTACAAATTGAAAGTAAAACCCTCCACTAGCAAAAAGATTATGACTCTCTGATGGCTAGATGATGGTTAGCATTTTTTAGCAATAAAGTATTTTTTAAACATCTTTTTTAATTTCAGAGAGGGAGGGAGAGAGAGAACTATCAATGATGAGAGAATCATTGATCAACTGCCTCCTGCATGCCCCCTACTGGGGATAGAGCCTGCAACCCTGGCATGTGCCCTTGACCAGAATCGAACCTGGGACCCCTCAGCCTGCAGGCCGATGCTCTATCCACTGAACCAAACCAGCTAGGGCAATAATGTGTTTTTAAGTTAAGGTATGTACATTGCTTTTTTAGACAAAATGCTATTGCATACTTAACAGACTACAGCATAGTGTAAATAGAACTGTTATATGTACTGGGAAACCAAAAAAAAGTGTGTGACTCGCTTTATTGCGGTATTTCCTTTACTGGCCGAGGTCTGCAACCAAACTCCCAGCATCTCCAAGGTAGGACTGTATAGTCTTTGTCTGTGTGATGCTTTATGCAATCAGTCTCCTCTGGATGGACTTCTGGGTTGTTTCCAAAATGTTAGCATTTACAGTAATTACTTTCTCTTTTGGAATTCAATTCAGCAAAGGGTGCCATGGTTTTTAAATGTTTATATCCAGCAACTGGTCTTCTAGGAATCTATCCTAAGGAAATAATTCTAGAGAAAAAAATAAAATTCTTTATAACAAAGATGTTCCTCGCCAGGTTATTTTATAATATCAAAAAACTGGAGGGAATTTAAATGTTCACCAATAGGAAAATGGTTAAGTAAACTGTGCTAAGTCTATTCAATGGAATATGATACTGTCATTAAAAATGTTTATGTAGGCCCTGGCCAGGCAGCTCAGTCGGGTAGAGCATCATCCTGATACACCAAGGTTATGGGTTCCATCCCCGGACAGGGCACATACAAGAATCAACCAATGAATGCATGGAACAGTGGAACAACAAATTGATGATTCTCTCTCTTTCTCCCTCGCTCCCTCTCTCTCTCTCTCGCTCTCTCTAAAAGCAATCAACTTTAAAAAAACATATTGGGGATTAATAGGTACAAAGTGGTAGTTACAGAACAGTCACGGGGATGTACTGTACAGCGCAGGGAATATAGTCAATAATATTGGGATAGCTATGTATGGCGTCAGATGGGACCTAGATTTATCGGGGTGATCGCTTCATAAGTTATATACATGTCGAATCACTGGGGTGTACACCGAAACTAAAATAATACAGTACGTCAACTGTAATTGAAAAATAAAAATTATTTTTAAAATTTTAGTTATGTCTTGACTTCTTGTGTAAAGGGATTTGAGGCAGCGTTTTCAACGTTTGACAAAAGATGGTGTTGCGCTGAAACTGGTTTGGCTCAATGGATAGAGCGTCGGCTCGTGGACTGAAAGGTCCCAGGTTCGATTCTGGTCAAGGGCATGTACCTTGGTCGCGGGCACATCCCCAGTGGGAGATGTGCAGGAGGCAGCTGATCAATGTTTCTCTCTCATTGATGTTTCTAACTCTCTATCTCTCTCCCTTCCTCTCTGTAAAAAAATCAATAAAATATATTAAAAAAAAAATTTCGCAATGCCCTAGGCTCGTGACCTAGATGTAACAATACTATGGAATGGGAGAGCCCAGTCCAGCTTTTGTTCCACCTGCACCGGGCACTGAAAAGATGCTAATTTGCTTAGTCTATCCCTATTTGACTCAAAAGCGGGCTAAAAGGAGACGGGGTTGTGAAAGGGGTGCACGTGACTAATTGCGTGTGAGCCACGAAAACTGTGATGCCTATTTGAAAAGGGAAGTTAAGGCAGATGGCCCCCACCTCCCCAGCGTAGGGAGTTTTTCAAATACAGGCCAAGCTGGGCTCTTCCGCAGGGATTCCGGCCCAGCCAGCTTGGAGGGGGCAGCATGTGAGTTCTAGAAAGGCCCCCCCGGACAGCGGATGCCCAGGCACTCCCCTGGGAAGCACTGCTTCAGACACTCTGGCTGAAAGTCCTCAAAAGGTTTAAAAGCGGACAAATGGGAAAAAGGCATCTAAAAGGTCACAGGGGACTCCAAAGAGGCTGACCCTGCCAGATGCATACGGATGAACGTGCAATGAGTCATCCGATAGGCTTTAAGGCAAATTGGTTTTGAGGGACCGGGACAGCTCCCTTACCCCCGGAGGCCCTGATCCCAGATCTCTTCCCTCCGCCTCCCAAATCTGAACCCCC